CCCACGTTCGGCAGACTTCAGACTAGGACGCACATAATTAACAAGAGACTGCGTCCTTCTCCATTTTATTTTTGCATCCATTCATAAATATTTTTAGGTTCATGTAAATTATCGCTGACTGAATTGCAATTCTTCTATAACTTCAGCAGTTTTCATACAACCTGACCATAGAAGTAGGACCAGGGATCTTGGCGTGATACACGTGGTTGTCATGTTGGGAAACATGTCACAATGCAATCACTTTTACAGAATTTAAGGAAACTACACGTACACGTGTACGAGGGGCGGTTTTACACCCGCTATCACTTTCACTGTTGCCAACATCACTTTTGATTTGATCTTCAACAGTCCTTAGTATGCTACAAATTCAGTAAGATTACTGAAGTGCATTATCTTCATCCAATATAATATTATAGCTTTGTTCCTGTAATACCAATTTACAAATTCTGAGGTTGTTACACACTTTGATTTTGACACGGAGTCATTCCAAGTGAAATCATCCAGAGGTCGCTTATCATTTTTAAAAAAATTCCAAATTTGTACACTTATTTCTACTTATTTTCACACCAAAAAAAATGTTACAAAAATTGTGATCCGCTCGGTTCTCCCGGTACAGCCGTTTTTATAATGCGAAAAAACGCGTTTTCGGCTCAAATGGAGGTTTGCGTTATCTTCTGTATCTCGGTAACTATTGAAGCTAGAGACTCCAATAAGAAACCAATTTGTTCCTCATGATATGGACTATAAATCACAACATTACAAAGCTTCACTCAACTCACTTTCTCTAGGTCTAATTAAGCTCGAAACTTAGGCCTACCTATCGATTTTGGGAAAAACGCTATTTTTCACCTTCAAAAACCAATGGGAGGGGGGAAGTATCATATCTGTGGTTTCTACCCTTTGTTGTTGTTTCCTACATGGGGAATATAATCACATAGTTTTGATCACCATATCTATTTTCTAAAATTTTCCAGGAGCTTCCAAACTTTGCTCTGGGCCCCAAATCGGCCATTTTTAACATCTCATATCTC